AAAAAAAAAAAAAAATAACCCCAAAGTCCAATTTGAACCTAGAATTCAAGTAATAGATGAAAATAACTACATTAGCATCATTCAGAAAACCCCCTGAAACAGTAGAATAGAGAACATCTGAAGGAAATGTTGGTTATCAGGGAACAATGTAACGAGGTCACCTTCTATGAAGCAGAAGTTTGTGTCAGTGCTTCAGAATGCACTGGAAGTCATTTCTTCAGTCCTGGCATCTGAGGATTCCCTCTTCCTCTTGGGTTCCACTCTTGGTTCATTTACATGGCTGTGGCAGATTTTCTTTTTCTTTTTTGGATATCAGTCAGTTCAGAGCTCTGCTAACGTATTTTTAGTTGCTCAAGGCAAAGCAGGCTTGCCACTTTTGTATCGCCTTGGTTTAAAGTTAGGATTGTGCACAACAGGTGCTTTGAGAGCTGAACCAACTCACTGCTTTGAGAGATTAATCTGAAAGTAATGTTTCTTTTTTTTTCTTTCTTTTTTTTTTTTCTGAGACAGAATCTCAAGCTGTTGCCTTGGGTAGAGTGCCGTGCTGTCACAGCTCACAGCAACCTCCAACTCCTGGGCTTAAGCTATTCTCTTGCCTCAGCCTCCCAAGTAGCTGGGACTACAGGCGCCCACCACAACACCCAGCTATTTTTTGGTTATAGTTGTCATTGTTGTTTGGCAGGCCCAGGTTAGATTTGAACCAGCCAGCTCTGGTGTATGTGGCTAGCGTCTTAGCTGCTTGAGCTACAGGTGCTGAGCTGAAAGTAATGTTTCTAATACAGTGAAAGTAATCTACACTGACACTTAGGTCAGAGAAGAAACTCAGTGGCCTGGCTGAAAAGGCTGCCCCTCCACCATCCTGTGCCTCATTCCAACCTTCTTTCCCCCTTTTGTATCATACCTTCAATTACTGTGATCTACTCAGAATAATTCTACTCTCCTGTCCTCTTTTGTGTCATACCTTCAATCACGCTGATCTACTGTGAATAATTCTGTCTGAATGTATTAGCCTGGCTCATAACTATGTACATTTTCATGCCGTTTTTTTCCCTCTAACTGCAATATGCCTTTTTACATTCCTCTACAATGGTGGTTCCCAACCTTTTTGACACCAGTGACTAGTATGGAAAACAAATTTCCCACGGTCAGGAGGTGGAGATGGAGGCATTAGATTCTCATAAGGAGCACACAACCTGGATCCCTCATGTGCACAGTCCTACCGTAGGGTTCAAGCTGCTATGAGACTCTAATTGCTACCCCTGATGTGACAGGAGGTGGAGATTAGGAGGCGATGTGAACAATGGGAAGCAGCTGCAAATACAGGTAAAGCTTTGCTCATTTGCCCACTGCTCACTTCCTGCTGTGTGTCCTGGTACCAGTCCATGCCCCAGAGTTCAGGGACCACAACTCTACAACATCTGAGAAACTCCTTCTGATCCTTTAAGATCCAGGGCCTCTGTAAAGCCTGTTCCAACTCTCTCAAAATAGGGCTACTGAAACCCTACTCTAACTTGTACCCTTAAAGACTTATCACAATATTCCTAACAGCAGCTAACCCTACTAAGCTCTTTTCTAAGCACTTTCATTCATCCATTTAATCTTCTCAACATCCCATGGGTGAATATACTGTTCTAGCATTTTACAGACAAGGAAACTGAGGCACACAGAGTTCAATTATTAACTTTATACACATTACCTCTCTATCAGACTACATATTTTCTTGAGAGCAGAGAATATAACTTTGGGGTCTAGCACACAGTGCCTGACACATAAGTATTTGATAAATGTTTGAATGAATGAACAAATTACACTGAAATGTATAATTGAGGCTAAACTCCTAAGTATTTCATGTAAGGTCCTTTAAAAAAACATACAGTGGCTCGGCGCCTATGGCTCAACCGGCTAAGGCGCCAGCCACGTACACCTAAGGTGGCGGGTTCGAATCCCCAGCCTGGACCCACCAAACAGCAATGACGGCTGCAACCAAAATAGCCGGGCGTTGTGGCGGGCGCCTGTGGTCCCAGCTACTTGGGAGGCGGAGGCAGGAGACTCGCTTGAGCCCAGGAGTTGGAGGTTGCTGTGAGCTGTAATGCCACGGCACTCTACCCAGGGGGACAGCTTGAGGCTCTGTCTCAAAAAAAAAAAAAAAAAAAAAAACCATACAGTGACTCACACCTGTAATCCCAGCTATTTGGGAAACTGAGGTGGGGAAGTAATTACCCTAGGAGTTTGAAGGTGCAGTGAGCTTATGAATGTGCCGCTGCACTGCAGCATGGTGATAGGGTAAGGCCCTATCCCTAAACAAAACAAAAACAAAAGCACAGTGTTTCTAAGCACTCAGCATCTGTCAGTATTGGCCAGTATCTGTCAGTATTGGCTCACGCCTGTTGTCCCAGCACTGTGGGAGGCCCAGGCAGGTGGATCACCTGAGCTCAGGCGAGCTGAAGACTAGCCTGAGGCACAGGGAGCCAGAGTGAGACTGTGTCTCTACAACAACAACAAAAAACAGCTGGACCTTGTGATCCCAGCTACATGGGGGGCAAGAGAACACTACAGGAGAAAGAAGTAAAAAAAAAAAAAAAAAAAAGAATCTGTCAGTATCCTGCCCTCTCCCTACATGCCTATAAAGTTGGGGTAATCCAAATTTGAAAAAAGAACTCTTTGAAAAAAATAATTGAAACAAATGACTTCTGAATTGTAGTATGGAATATATGGTGGGTAGAATTATGACTTGCAATGAAAGTGTTATGAAATAGAAATCAATAACTTATGGGGGGCACCTATAACTCAGTGGTTAGGGCACTGGTCAAATACACCAAGGCTGGCAGGTTCAAACCCAGTCTGGGGCAGCTAAAACAACAATGACAACTGCAACAACAACAAAATAGTCAGGTGTTGCGGTGGGCACCTGAAAGTCCCAGCTAATTGGGAGGCTGAGAAAAGAGAATTGCTTTAACCCAAGAGTTTGAGGTTGCTGTGAGCTACCATGGGTGACATAGAGAGACTCTGTCTCAAAAAAAAAAAGAAAGAAAGAAATCAATAACTTAGTGATTAAGAGCACAGACTTTTACCTTTTGATAAGTCTGCATTTGAGCCCAACTTGTTAGCTATATAACCTTGAATGGGCAAGTACTTAAAAGTCAACCTCAGTTTCCTTTTCTCTAAAATGGGGATAATAGTCAAATTTACAAATTAAATTAAAATTACAATTAAATTAAATACTTAATGCTTGGGTATGGGATAAGCCTTCAATAAATGTTAGCTATTATTATTAATTTTTTTTGAGACACAGTCTCACTTTGTTGCCCTCTGTAAAGTGCTGTAACATCATAGCTCACAGTAACCTCAAACTCTTGGGCTCAAGTGATTTTCCAGCCTCAGCCTCCCAAGTAGCTGGGACTACAGGCACCTGCCACAATACCTGGCTATTTTTAGAGACAGGGATCTTGCTCTTGCTCAGGCTGGTCTCGCACCTGTGAGTTCAGGCCATCTATGTGCCTTGGCCTCTCAGAGTGCTGGATTACAGGCATGAGCCACCCTGCCTAGCCCAATTTTAGCTATTATTGTTTTCATTTTTATCTTCCACTATGGATCCTATACACTGAGTTTAATTACTGATATACAGAACAAATTATAAAATATTTTCTTAAGGTGACCCTATAACAAAGAATCTCCAAAACAGTATAACAAAGGTCATATAAATCACAATATTAAAAAATTCTTCTGATTTACAGAAACACATCCTTACCTTGTTTGGTGAATAAATATCATCTTGAAATAGTTGGAAAAAGCAGCAAGCACAGCTCTGTGGGCCTTGAAGTAAACATCTCCTATAGCAACTGTGCAATCACACAAAAAACCAAATTCTCGCTGCATGTTCAGCTGCTGCAAAAGGACAAGGCTATGGCTAGCAGTGTCCATTGTGGCTCTGAGAAAAAGAACAACATAAATACATATGGAATGTGTGTTTTTTTTTTTTTACAAAATTGTTTACAAGGCTGGGTGCAGTGGCTCACACCTCCTAGCATTCTGGGAGGCTGAGGTAGTGGATCACTTAAGCTCAGGAATTCCAGACTAGCCTGGGCAAGAGCAAGACAACATCTCTACTAAAAATAAAAAAACTGAATAGCTGGGCATTGTGGCGGGCACCTGTAGTCCCAGCTACTCGGGAAGCTGAGGCAAGAGAATTGCCTAAGCCCAGGAGTTGGAGGTTGCTATGAGCTGTGTGATGCCACAACACTATCCCAAGGGAGATAAAGTGAGACCGTCTCTACCAAAAAAAAAAAAAAAAAAAAAAACAACTAAAAATAAAAATACCACCCTGGTGTTGTGGCACATGCCTGTAATCCCAGCTACTTGGGAGACTGAGGTAAGAAGGTTGCTTGTGCCCCAAAATTTGAGGTTGCTGTGAGCTATGACACCTTAGCACTCAACCCAGTGTGACAGAGTGAGACTCTATCTTAAAACACAACATAACTGCTTATAGTTCACATAAATCTACAGAATTGCAAGGAAATGCAAATTTAAATAAAATTATTCAACAGTTTTAAATACTGTTACCCCAAACCTAGTTTACATTAAAACCCCCCATTATGGGCTCAGTGCCTATAGCTCAAGCAGCTAGGGCACCAGCCACATACACTGGAGCTGGCAGGTTCGAATCCAGCCCAGGCCCGCCAAACAATGACAACTACAACAACAAAAAAAATTGGCTGGCCATTGTGGAGGGCACCTGTGGTCCCAGCTACTTGGGAGGCTGAGAATTGCTTAAGCCCAAGAGTATGAGGATGCTGTGAGCTGCAACGCTGTGGCACTTTACCCAGGGTGACAGCTTGAGACTTTGTCTCAAAAAAAAAAAAACATTATGACAATTAATATAGACTCTGCTGAACTATGAAATATGACCCCTCTTGGGCAGTGTCTGTGGCTCAGTAAGTAGGGCGCCGGCCCCATATACCCAGGGTGGTGGGTTCAAACCTGGCCTGGCCAAACTGCAACAAAAAATAGCCGGGCGTTGTGGTAAGTGCCTGTAGTCCCAGCTACTTGGGAGGCTGAGGCAAGAGAACTGCCTAAGCCCAAGAACAGGAGGTTGCTGTGAGCTGTGACGCCACAGGACCCTACTGAGGGTGACAAAGTGAGACTCTGTCTCTTGGGGAAAAAAAAGGGGAGGGTCATATATCTATTACCCCTTTCATCTGCTAAAAAGGTAGCTTGGTATGAGTGACACATGAGCAAAAAGTCCTGTCCTTTTCTGTGTGACCATGATGTTTCCTCACTAGAAAAGTGGAAACAAGATACTGATACCTCAAAGTTAAATGTCACAACTTAAGTGAAAATCATGTAAGGAATAAAAAAGTCACACTACATCCCCTGATTTTCATGGGGAGCCTCATGAGAAAGAACTTAAACCCTGATCTCAACTAAATGCAGATAACCATGAATAGGTAGCTTCCCAAGCACAATAGAAGGCAGGATGGAACAACTGGGTCTCCAGGAAAATCCTACATGAGGAAGAATATGCAGATTCTGGCCAAAGGCCTAGTATGAACAGCAAGGACATTCAGGAGTGCCCTAGTTTCAGGCAGATAGGAGACTACAGTTCATTGCCTTCTCTACCCTAGGTATGCAGAGAGCACTTGTGCTTTAGGGAGAAGGCACATGTAGAATAAAGAGCATTACTGGGTGGCTGGTAGAACATCCTCTGAAAGAGCAGACCCTGAAAAGAGAAAAAGATTTCCTCACTAGCCAGTAAGACCAAGGTCCAAGGAGAACAGTGGTGGAGTATGGGGTTAGCCATCCAAAGACTGGCAGTAGCCTAGGGGGCAGACAGCTGAATGTTTGATAATGTAATAAAAATATCTAATATTTTATAATACTTCCTATGCATTAGGCACTTTTCATTCATTTAGTTCTCAAAATAACTCTGTAAGAAAGGGAATACTGGGAAGATGGCCAACTGGTAGCAACCCTAGTCAGAGGCTCCTGAGCAAAGAAAGAAAAACTGGTTGGAATCAGAATGTATGAAGCCAAAGACGGGGAGCTGAGCCCAGAAAGAAGTTCGGCAAGCTGTAAATCCAAGGAAGATCATTTAAGAACACAAAATACAGGTATAAAGCGGGCCCCAGAACTGCTTGCTAGAGCTGCCCACCACCTGCAGGTGGCGGGTAGCTGCAGAGAAGTCCCCTGAGCCGGGAAGGCACAGAATGACTTGGTAGAGCCTTCTGCACCCCCACGGGTGGCAGTGGATGAGTCCCCTACTCTGGGAGGACCCAGAACTGCTTGCTAGAGCCGCGCACCCCACAGGCGGCAGAGGAGACCCCCACTCCAGGGCTCTGGGCAGGTCCAGAACCGCTGGCTAGAGCCACAAGCCTCCTGCGGGCAGCGGGTGACCAGAGAGAAGTTCCCCTGCTCCGGGCAGCCATAGAAGTACTTGCTAGAGCCTTGTGCACCCCCATGGGTGGCGGCAGATGAGTCCCCCACTCTGGGAGGACACAGAACTGCTTGCTAGAGCCACGCACCCCACAGGCAGCAGAGGAGACCCCCGCTCCAGGGCTCTGGGCAGGTCCAGAACCGATTGCAAGAGCCGCACACCTCCTGCAGGCAGCGGGTGGCCACAGAGTACTTCCCCTGCTACAGCTAGCCACAGAACCAATTGCTAGAGCCTTGTGCACTTCTGTGGGTGGCAGCAGACAAGTTCCCCACTCTGGGAGGGCCCAAAACTGCTTGTTAGAGCCGCGTGCCCCAGGGGCGGCAGAGTAGATCCCTGTTCCAGGGCTCTGGGCGGGCACAGAACTGCTTGCTAGAGCCACACACCTCCTGCGTGCGGCGTGAGGCGGGTGGCCACAGAGGACTTCGCCTGCTCTGGGCAGGTGCAGAACCACTTGCTAGAGCCTTGCGCACCCCCACGGGTGGCAGTGGATGAGTCCCCCACTCTGGGAGAGCCCAAAACTGCTTGCTAGAGCCGCGCACCCTACAGGCAGCAGAGTAGATCCCTACTCCAGGGCTCTGGGCAGGCACAGAACTGCTTGCTAGAGCCACACACCTCCTGCGGGCTGCGGGTGGCTGCAGAGGACTTCCCCTGCTCCAGGCAGGCACAGAACTACTGGTTAGAGCCTTGTGCACCCTGCGGGCGGTGGCAGAGGAGTCCCCCACTCTGGGAGGACACAGAACTGCTTGCTAGAGCCGCGCACCCCACGGGCGGCCAAGGAGATCCCCGCTCCAGGACTCTGGGTGGGCCCAGAACTGCTTGCTAGTGCCACGGGTGTCCTGCGGGCAGTGGTGGAGGAATCCTCCATTCCAGGCAGACCCCAAATAGCTTTCTAGAGACACGCACGCCCCATGAAGGCCAGCAGAGGAGTTCCCTGCTCCAGGCACCTGTACTGGGTGGGCCCATAACTGCTTGCGAGAGCCACGTGTGCCCTACAGGAGGCGGTGGAGGAGTCTTCCACTCTGGGCAGGCCCAGAACTGTTTGTTAGAGCCACATGCATCCCACAGACGGAGGTGGAGGAGTTTCCCACTCTGGGCTCCCATGCTGGGAGGGAATAGATTGGCTTGCTAGTGCCGCACATGTCCAACAGGCCACAGTGAAGGAGTCCTCCACTCCCCCCAGCTACTCTGGTGGGACCGAACTAAGACTGATCTGGTCGCTCACGTACCCTACACTACCACTGCCATTCCCCCACCCCCTAGCTGCTCCAGGGTCCTAAACTAGGACTGATTTGGCTACTACTGATCTCCTGCCCCCTGGTTGCCCCAGTAGGCTGAATGAGGTCTAATCTGGCCACACACACTCCCGTGCAGCTGCTGCTGTTCGACTGCACCCCAGTTGCCCCAGCACCAGAGAACTGGGAGTAGACAATAGACATGCTCTGCCTCTCTCTCTGGGCAACCAGAAAAAGCCACCAACTGAACAGTTCAGAATGGGGCGGAATCAGCGGAAAAACTCTGGCAACTCGAATAACCAGAATAGATCAACTCCCCCAAGGAAAAATGGGGCAGACATAATTGAAGACCCCATCCACAAACAAATGGCTGAAATGTCAGAAATCGAGTTCAGAATGTGGATAGCAAATAAGATTCACAGAATGGAAGAAAGGAAGGAAGTAGAAGTTCAAGAAATTAGTCAAAAGAGTTCTCAAGAAATTACACAAAACATTTCTCAAGAAATTATTCAAAAGATATCTCAAGAAGTCATTCAAAAGATCTATCAAGAACTCAACAATTTCAAAGATAAAATGATCAAAGATTTTGAAACACTGAGACAAGAG